CTTTTAAAAAATGATTTCACTTTAAGGGTCTTTTAATCTTTTCCGTACTCTTAGAGAAAGGAACATTATAGATAAGTAAACTAAAAGGGGGAAACAGTGTGAATGGCAGCTAGCGTATCTCAAGTCTAGATACTGCAGTCACCAGTTTTTACCTACGGTAGTAGTACACTGTTGATGAGCAGCAAACAGGAACAAAGAACTTTTGCATGTGGATACATAAACTCAAAGTGGGTTATCAGCTCTCTAGGTCCATGATTTTATTTATTTTTTATTATTCTTTTGTTTTTTGAGACAGGGTCTCAGTATATCACTCAGGCTGGTCTTGTGCTCACTATACAGGCCAGGCTGGCCTCAAACTTGCGGCAATCCTGCGTCAGTCTCCTGAGGACTAGAATTCTAGGCTAGCACCACCATGCCCATGATTTTAGAGCAATGGGTCATGCCTCTTTTTTCATGTCAAATATTTTACAACTCCTACTTTACTATGCTGGCATACGATTAATACAAAACACATTCACATAGTTTCAAGAAAACCAATACAATGTTCAAACTGTACATAAAGGAGAAATAAAAAGAAAGTAATTTACATGAAACTTGCTATCAGAATGTAAACCTTGGGGGTGACTCCACCAGAAGACATCATGAGAAAGTCAGAACCTTGTGTCTCTCTCCTGGAGAGCTGCAGAGAACCCAGGTTACAAATGCAGAATGAGTCAGCTCTGTGGGTGCTGGTTGTCAGGATTTTCTGAACGTGAAGTATCTCACATTGAGAGCAAAACAAAATTATAATTTTCCTTCAGTTCACATATAGTTGCATTCCTGCAAAGTTCAGAATATATTAAAACTGTGGGTAAAAAAGTACTTCATGTTTGCACGTACAGTTTGGTTTTAGGCTGAGATATGTGACCTGGTCTTTCACCTGTGGAGGGTATCAGAAAATCTTGGGGGGAAAATCTTTCACTGTGCGTGACCAACCTGTGCATTGCTGACAGGCACATCAAGGGGACACATCAGGAGGGAAAGTCTTCCCCCACAGAGACCTATTAAACGATGGCCTAAAGCTCCCTTTCATGTTTCCAAACCGCCCCCTAGGGGGCGGTACTGTCTTTAATGAGACGTTCTACTCTTATCTCAACAGCTCAAAGGAAAGAGGGCAGCTTGGTGAGTGGGAGTCCACCCACCTGTGCGCATCAGTAAACCTTCTTCTTGTTTTATAGTGGAAGAGCTTTGGCAATGTAGGGAAAAGTCCTAACTCTACACCAAAAGACGGGATTTGAACTGCTTGGGGTGAAGTCATGAGCATCGAAAAGGTACTAGGAAATTTCAGTGGAGATCACTCAGCACAGCAAGGTCTTGGCTGACAGAAAATGCTTGTCAGCTCTCAGAACCCTAAGGGCTGGGGTGCAGAGGGCGTGGCGGGCGGAGGAGCAAGGTAGGGACAAGAACAGAGAAACAGGCGTCAGAGAAAACTTCACAGCAAAAGGCTTGAGGACCCTCTTCGAGGCACAAAATAAACTTTGGTTCCGGCCACACCTCTGGCACCTATGAGAAACGGCCAGCCCAGACTGCACAGCAAGACCTGCTGCCAACAACAACAACGGCAACACCAGCAAAGCTTTGAATATGTGCAAGTGAAGAGAACGCACGAGCAGTAAATTCTCCCTTATGCTTTAAATGCAACGAGAAATAGATGCTACAGCTATCGTTCAAACCACTAATCACAGCATTCATTTGTAACTAGTAAAAGTTGTATAAGTTTTCACATATATTTTTCAAAGGATGATAAATCAATACAGTCTTTTAGAAGGCAATTTGTTTATATGAATTGAATTCTTAAAAACTGTTTTAGATGTAACTTCTTTCTTAGAAACGTGTCAGTAATAATAACAACAGCAGCAGATGTTGGCTGCCACTTAGTACGTGCCAGACACTCCTCTGAAGGCCCAGGGTCGCGCAGTGGGGTCCAGAGCTTGGCCCGGGGCTGGGGGCTGCAGAGCCTGTGCTCAGACTGTTGCTGTCTAGGCTGTGATGGTGCTCACTGTCACCTGGCAAAGTATCGTGACCGTCTCCATTTGTGGCAAACTGTTTCTTTAAAGGGGAAGGGATGTGCTTCGAAGATTGGCAGACCTGAGTTTTAATTTTCCTTCTAATTCTTACCAGCTGTGTGATCTTCTGCAGTTTAATTAACCTCTCTGTGCCTCATTTAACAAGTAGGATAATGCCTACTTTGAGCTTCTGAGACTGAAAGAATGCACTGAAACGCCTACTGCATGGGAAGTACCTGGTAACAGAGACTTATCTATCCCTTTCCCTTTATACCCTTCCTTGTTCAGAAAAAATAAAGATTACACTCGGTAGGGGGTAAGACAAGATTCTTCAAGTAGGTGGTAGGAAATTGTCTGAAACAGCCCTTGGGCTTTGTGTACAGCATGGCAGCTTCCTCGCTGCAGTCAGCCGAACCCCTCTGGTCTGTTAAGGGAAAAAGAGAAAGTGATGGTGGGGGTGAGGGGAGCCCGGCCCGGGAGGTCCACGAGGACACATATTTGAAGGAGTACCTGGCGGTGGAGGAGGAGGAACACCTCTGTTGGCCTCCCATGGCTGCATCCGTGAAGAAACCGTCAGCCTGCCACCCAGCCGAAGGAGCAAGAAGGGCAGCTGCTGCTCCCTTAAACATGGGGGTTAGTGAGTGTGTGAATCGGTGAGTGGTGAGCCTTTTTGGGCTTTTCTTTCTTTCATTTTTTGAGTTGGCTTTCTTGTTTCACCCAGGCTTTTTAAAAAACTATGTCACTAGTTAGTGAGATTTGCTCCAAAAGGTTCAACTGAAATATAGTTAATTCTACTATGGCTGAGACTGCGTAAAAGTGTCCCCTATATGTGTGCTCCACTTCCATGTGGATTTCAAAAATTTCAAAGTAAAAAGTTGGAAAAAATCACAAATTATAATAGAAAGTAACTATCATGATGTGTATCAATAGTTTCATATCATCGTTATTTACAACAAAGATAATCAGAAACTATACCAGTGCCCCAAAGAGGTGAGTGACTAAGAGAATTCATATGATCAAGAGCATGAATGTCACCTTATAGACATATGTGATGAAGTCATATGAAATGGAAAAATGTGTAATTAAAGACTACAATCCACAACCACAGCAATGAGAAAAGGTGTGATACGTATTTACAAAACAACAAGTGCATCTGGCCAATTAGGACAGAAATATGACTTCACTTCTGGGTAAGGTTGCCCAAGTTAAGAAAAATGGATAAATCATACGTCTAACAAATCCCCCTTGCTAAGGAAACAACCTATACCAGAGGGCAGAATGGTGAGGGAAATTGTCTATCTAATGAAAAAGATAGGCAATCACCAATTATCATGCTGATATGCACGTTCCTTTCCTTTGATTTCATTTGAGGTAGATCAGAATACCCAGCGCATGTTTGGGAACCATCTTTCACAAATACTTTGTGTTTGGAAATATAAAAACTTTCCAAAATCATTTAGTATTCAAAATTAATAATATCCTCATCATCTTGTGGTTTAAATGATGACTGAATAATAGCTCAAGCTAGCTGTGTCCTGCATTTCCTTTATTAATATAATTAGTATTCTTAGATTTTATAAAACTGCTACACTCTAACTGTAGGGGGAAAAGATTTCAAAAGATTGAATACATGTACTGATTCAAGATATGATTTCTCACACAGCCAACCTCTGTAATTTTGGATTACAGAGCAATATAGAGGAATTCTGGCACGAGTTCTTTGGCAATATTGTTTAAAAATAAAGGTACTCTGATGCACAGCTCAGATTTTTTATTTTGCTTTGCATCCTAATATTTTCTACTTAATATAGAATCATGATCTTATTTTAAAAAGGAAAGATTACTTAAGAATGTGGTGATTAAGACTCTTTTTTTTTTTAGAGGAAAAGGAGGATTTATTTCCAGGATTTTAAATAGACATCAAACCAGCTGAACTCATGTCCAAAGTGCTGGACGCTGGAACAAAGGAAAGGTTCTAGTTTTATACTCTTGGCTGAGCGGGCTAGTCTTTAGAAACTGGGGGAGGGGCAAACAAGGTACAGAACCAAGACAAAGCAATTAATAACTTAGCCTTGAAAGAAAAGTCAACGCAGAGCTAAAGTCCAGGTAGAGTGTGAACAAACCTCACAATGTTAAGATCCAAATTGCATAAACTTTATGAAACTTTTAACTCCAGCATTAAGTTTTCTAGCACTGTGTTTAGGGGTCTTAATGTAATAAAAGAGAATTAAGCAATAATATCTGATAAAATTTTTTGCCTTGTCTAAAATGATCTTGGTGGTAATCCTGGCTATAAAATTCACTGGGTGAGTTTGAACAAAAAGTTTTCCTATGGTTCAGATTTGCTGTCCCCCCAAATGAGAAAAAATATGGTTTCTTTTTTTTATACATGTGGTTTCTAAATTTTTAAAAAGACAAACATAAAAATGCTAGGTAGAGTACCAATCACTGCTCACATACACACTGCCCAGAAACTGTTCTCTTCAAATGGGTGCGCTTTAAAGGCAACCTTTAGTCACACAGCGACTTCTCCCCCGCAGCAGTTCAAGCCTTGGGGCTAATTATTGATGACACAGAAATTTCACTAACAAAACTGCATTATTTTAGCGTGAAAATGACTCAAAAATTATACTAACAGTGAAAATCATATTTAAAGAAGCCAACGACAACAACAAAAAGCCCCCATACTTCCACGGGAGACTTTTATCTTGAAAAGGAACTAAAACACACATCCTAGATAAACAATGTTTGTAAGATTTAAAAGGGCAGGATTCCAATAATGCAAAGGAGTCGGTGACCCTGAACTAGAATGAAGTTAAGTAAAATTCAGTTCCTCTCCCTCCTCTCCTGACAACAGAATGGAAGAGCAAACAAAACCAGGAAACAAGCAGCGCACACGGCAGTGCCCGCCCGCCCGGCGCGCGGGGCGTGGGAACCTGCGCGCGCGGGCCCTACCTCGGACGGACTTCCCCACGCTGTGCAGGTGAGTGATGGAGCTGTAGTTCCGGGCAACGCTCTTCAGGAACGCCTCCATGCCCTCCTGGTGGTGGTACCTGAAATCCAGCGCCGCCGCCAGAGGCAGCAGCAGCGCCGGCCACAGGCGCGCGAGGTCCATGTCCCGCGGGGGGCGAGAGCGCAGTGAGGCCGCGCCCCGCTGCCCGAGGAGGTGCGGCTGCAAGCGGCCCCTTCGGACGCTGAGCGCGCCCCGAGACCGGCC